TACAGACTATATGACAAATATATACATAGAATAAGGGAAACCCTTATGACAAGTGCCTTATGAGTAAATTCTTAAAAGTAAACTTTGAGTAAGAAAAATCGAAGTCTAAAGATGAAGAATAAGCAGTAAATTGGGAGAGAGTCCTCCTTAAAGGAGCATTCATACCATAAACAGTTTTAACAACACCCACAAAAAACAATTCATTACAACGAAGAATACGTGAGGGAACAATAAAACGAATTTTCATAAGGAGGTGCGAGCAATCTATATGGCCTACAATTATGTCAAAGACAAAGCACATCGATAACAAAGTACGCCTGGACTCTAAGGACATGAGATTTATCAACAAACAACGAGATTGATAGGACGGAATAGGGTCTACAAATTTCAACGGACGCAAAGCAAAGCGTATAAAAGCCCTCTGAACAGACTCCAATCTGTTCACATGAACTGTATGAAAAGGTCTCCAAACAAATACAGCGTATTCTAACCTCGACCGAACTAAAGACGAATACAACAGTTTGAGAGTATAAGGATCGGAACGAATAAAGGCCAACATCGCGAATGATTTAGAAACAATAAAGTTTATGTGGGTGGTGAAGGGGAGCTTGGAGCAAAATAAACACCCAAGTCTTTAAAATCAGTAATTGATTTTAGCGGGACATTCGAAAAACAGTAAGAGGTTGGAAAAATACTAATCACTTTTGCAAAAGAGGTATAATGACATTTACCAATATTGAGGGACAGACGATTACGCGCACACCACCAGTACAAATTATCAAGCTCACCCTGGAGAATCAATGAGTCTTCTCTATTTTTAATTTCATAGTATATCTTCAGGTCATCCGCATATGGAAGAAACTTACACTGTGAGAAACAAGAAGATATATCATTAATAAAGATAACAAATAATAACGGACCTAAGACACTACCCTGGGGAACACCAGAGGAGGAGACAAAAGAATAAGACGATACATTATCAAAACGAACAACACAGCGTCTGTTATACAGATAGGATGTGATCCACTTCAGAAACTCTGAATGAAAGCCCAGGCCTTCAAGTTTAGCTATCAATATTCGATGAGGCACCCTGTCAAAAGCCTTAGAGAAATCGGAATCCCTTTTGAAAGGTTTCCAAACAGTCCTCTGTAAAAGCACGGCACGTACCCATGTTGGTTGGGACATAATAAATGTTTAACAGCAAAGTAAATTTTATCTTTTACTATGGACTCAAACAGTTGTGAGACAGTGGTAAGCTTAAAAATCGGCCTATAATTCTCAATAAAATTTTTGTTACCACTTTTAAGAATTGGCGTAATAAAAGTCAATTTCCAGTCATCGAGGAAAACTCCGGCAGATAGAGACATGTTAGAAATGTGCCTCAAAGGCGCAATTAGTGAAGGACAGCTTTTAAATAAAATAACCGAGAGGCCGTCTACATCAGTGTTAGTGGATAGTTTAAGCTGGTTAATGCCATTAGCTACATCCTCGTCTGTCAACTTTAATTTCCCGAAGTTAATGGGAGTATCTAAATTTGACAAAAGATCTTCAGGAATATAATCATTATCAGAATTACCTGAAATAAAGTTGGAAGAAAAAAAAATCAGCAAAAAGATTAACAGCTTCGGAGATGGAGTTGGCTGACACCCCGTTAAGCTGGACCGATGCAGGTATATTAGAGCAATTTTTCTTTGATTTAATATAACTCCAGAAGAACTTGGGATTAGATTTAATATTGCTTTCTACGCCGCGAATATAATTCCTATACAAAGATTTATTGAGCCTGTTAAATTCAGCTCTATAAAACACGTAACGCTCACGCAAATTAACATCGTTGGAATGCTTTTGTCTTTTGTAGAACTTATTCTTCTTATTCCTTAAACGTTTGAGTTCTTTAGTAAACCATGGACGCTTAGCGTCCATATATACATGTTAAAATAATATACTTGCATATATGTCAAAATGTAT